TTATGAATCCAAGTAAAATTAAATCCTTTACCGCTTCAATATTTCTCTCCACTTACTAGAATACTGTGTGACAGTCCAGGGGTGAGGCTGCTTGTTTCCGTCACACGGAGGAGCTCTCCGTACTTTAGGCTGCAGTCTTTGATCTGCATCAGTAAGTGCTTCCAACAAGCCAGGTTGTATCATCTGCATAGATCAGCTTATTAAGAAGCCGGCTTCCCATGCTGTTCCCTCAGTCCTCTTCGGAGAGTCCGGCTTCTCAGGCATCTGCTCAACGTGCAGATTGAATATGTGTGGTAAAAGGACACACCCTGACACACATGTTTCCGGATTTTAAACCACTGGGAGTCTCCCTGTTCTGTTGAGACAAATGCCTCCTGGTTTGTGTACAGGTCCTGCAGGAGCACATTTAAGTGTTCTGGGATTTTCATTTTTGATGGCGAAGGCTGTGTATCCACTTAGCAAGACCATTATTCTTAATGGCCTGACAGATAATTAGATCTATCACGTCGTGTGATCTAATGTGAGCAACCAATCGGTCGAAAGGAGAACTTCCTTGGGGGTGTGGCCTATAGTCTCTCCTGGTGTGGAGGAGGAGGGGGCACTTTCTGGCAAAGCTTGCTCTCAATCTTTTCTGTACTCAACTCTACATTCACATCATCTTTTTTGACCTCTGGTTTTGTGTGCTGTGAGCCAGCAGCCTGTCACCTGATCAGTAGCATTTGAGTTCAGTAGACCCTGCTATCATGGAAAGTCAGGGATATGTCCAGCCTGCCACTGACCCACAAATTTGGGACTTCCCAGCCTCCACAATTATAGAAATCATTTCCTTGAAGTAAATATTTTTTATATTTTTTCCTTGGTGTTTGGAATTACTCTTTTTTAAAAAAATCACTTTATCAGGGGCTCTTACAGCTCCTATAACATTCCATACATCAATTGTATCGAGCATATTTGTACATTTGTTGCCATCATCATTTTCTAAACATTGACTTTGTATTTGAGCCCTTGGGATCAGCTCTTCTTTTCCCTCCCCCCACACTTTTTAATTTTGTTTGTTTACTTATTTTTACACATAATTTTCGCTGGTTTTGCTCCTCTAGAGCGCTCAGCCTAAGATAACCATTCTTCCAAAGGTTGTCTATAATCTGTTATGACCTATGTCGTCAAACGCATAACCAGCAAAACACAGCAAGCACTTCCAACATCCCCTTTCCCAGGTAAAGAAGCCAAGACACCAAAAGGTGAATTAACCTCTTCACATCACCAGGTAGCAAGAGTCAGGATTAGATCTCAGAAAACCAGACTTCCAAGCCGGGACTTGAAGCAGCTACAGAGACCACCTATGCTAGGTGGAGTTGACCCAATTGTTCTCATGGCCTAATTTGCCTCAGCATCTTCCCAAAACCAGGCAGAAAGAGTTGCTGGAGGCCAGGCAAAGCGATGTCTGCACTTTGTGCGACTGAAGACGCTGAGAGCGCAAAAGGGGACTGTGTGGACGGCTGGTCCCCAGAGGAGATAGGGTGTCACTCCGAAGCCGAGGACTCACTCCTGGAGGGGGAGTCCTTTGGGCAGCCTAGGCTTCTGTGGGCCCCACTTTCCTTGGAGACCACAAACCCCAAATGTAAAGGAATCTCTTTTCTAAGGAAAACACATACTTATACATTCTGAGTAATTTCCCGTGGAATAAGGAAAAAATAAACACAACACCCCAAATGGGTTTTTGCTTACAGATGGATTCAACCTGAGAGAAGTGGGAGAAGAAAATAGAGGGTCAGGGGAAAACTCACTGTTGCTTCCAAACCTCAGAGCCAGCCTGGAAACTCCATGGGGGGGGGGGGGGGCAGAGGGTGGAAGTGAAGCAGCCAGACCCTGGGGCTCCTCCTACCTTGTCTGGAAGAACTCCTTCCCCAACCCCTCAGGAGACTGGTGGGCCACATCTCACACACAGAAAGGGCTTATGTGTAGGGCTTCACTGAGCAGTCTGACAGACCAAGGATGAATCTCATGCAACCGCACACCAGAGGCTTTCACCCACCGAGTGTGTTGCTCAAAGGACCAGCCCGCAGTGGTGCAGGCCGGACAAAGAGGAAAGCAGCGAATACAGTGTCGTAGAATGGATGGCTGGGAAGGCCAGCTTGGGGGTCTAGGGGGACGAGAAAGGACATGTAAGTAGGGGTGACCAATCATAAACAGTCTCCCAGGAAAGAGAAAGTGGGTGGGGAAAGGACCATGTGATCGTGGACAAGTCCATTTCCAGAGCCCGACTTAAAAAATGATGGGGATGCTGTTTGATATCTAACACCCCTTCCTTCCCATTGCAACTTAGACAGGGAGACCCTGGGAGGAGGCGGGTTTATAGAAGAGGGGGTGGCGCTGGAGCCTGCAGGATGGATCCTTGAGAGCCAAGAGAAGTAGAACCACTCGGAGTCAGTTTGCACTGCAAATTTGACCCGGGAGAAACATCCTTACTGGCCAGAGTCTTGGGTTATTGAAAGTCTGGCAGCTCCCAGATTCACAACAGCTGGCCTGGATTTCCTCTTGCAGAAAATTCCTATCCTGTAGGGGGCTCAGGGGGTTCCAGGCCCTGAGAGCCCTGTTCTTCCCCTGGGCCAGTCGGAAGAGTGTGAGTGTGCCCAGACCACATTGACCCACCTGTCCCATCTCTACAGCACTTCCCTGGGAACCAACCAATGGTCTCTACCAACCCATGGGACCCACGCTGAGGCCCCGGGAGGATGGCTGAGTCCTCATTTCCACTCTCCAGACGAGGAAACTGAGGCCCATCGAAGCTGATTATGTTGGTAAGCCACGTGTCAGGAAAGACAGACAGAAACCATGGCTTCTGCCGCCGTCCCAGAGGAAGGACCCTGTGGGCTCCTGGAGCAGTGTCTCATCACCCTTGGGGTGTGCTTGATTGAGGGAACAGACGGCTCAGGGCGAGGGCCTCATCTCACCTAGTTCTTCCCCCAGGGGCTCCTGGAAGGTGCTAGACATGAGGAGGTTCTGAGGCAAGACACTAGATAGGGATCCGGGAGGCCTGTGTCTGGCATTGACCAGCTGACTGCCCTTGGACAAAGGTCTTCCCTCGGACCTCCATCTCCTCATCTGTGAAAGTCAGGGCTGCGTTCGAGGAGTGGTTTTCCAATGCTTCAGCAGTGCATCTGTATTTCTCCTTAAGTGAACCTCCCTCTAAATCTCAAAAACCTGAAAAACATCGAGACCATGACACCCCATTCCAAATGAATCAGAGTGGAAGGCTGGTCGAGCTAGCTGACTGCTCATCAAACCTCCATCCGCCTCCTCGAAGCTTCTCTGCAGGACCAAATACTGAGGAATTCGGAAACCCCTGAACTCTCCAGTCTCCTGGAGAAGCTTCGTCTTCCACGGGACCACAAAGGGATCGATGTTCTCAAGGCCTGATCGGGGCCTCTTTCCATCTCATCCTACATGCTCCGTCACCTTCAAATTGCCATCAACTCCCACGGCGTAATTCCAGATGAACACCTAGCCAACACCTGCCCCTGTCTGTTTGTATCCATCACTGCCTAACAAATGCCCCCTCAGTGTAGCAGCATCAAGATGACACGGTTATTGTTTCACCAAGTTTGGGGGGCAGGAACCCAGGAGCATCTCAGCCGGTGGTTCTGGTTGAAGGTCTCTCATAGGGCGGCAGTCAGGATATTGGCTAGGGACGTGGTCATCTGAAAGCTTGACCGGGGCCGGAAGATCTGTCTCTAAAATAGCTCACGTGCATGGTGAACGACCTCAGCTCCTCTCTTCAAAGGGCACGGAGGCCCAAGAAATGCCCAGGTTTGCCTGGCTTCCACATCGCCGGGGCCCCTGGTAGGCCTGGCTCCTGCCTTTCCTCTCCCTGAAATCGGGGCCAGCAAGTACATTCAATCTCCATTCAGTTTCCTTTTTCACCCAACTTAGTCCCAACTCAGGGCCCCTGTGTCCTCCCGGCTCTCTGCCCCACCACTTGGTAGGGTGGCAGACAGCATGTCCACCCAGCTTGGTGACCAGCTGGGCCACCAACTTGCTTGTGGTCTTTTGGACTCCGACTGGCTTTCCCTATGTACTCAGTGGCTTCTGCGGCAAGCACACAATAGTCGGTGTCTGCCGTTTCCCCCACGTCGCTGCTTTTGTCTCTTCTCCAGCCGGTCTGAAGCTGGTGACTCCCTCGGCCACAAAGAAGGACCTGGGCCAGCTCCAAGTCAGCCCCGCGGACGGAAGAGCGCCTGCTCCCCCCCCCCCCCCCCCCCCCCCCACACACACACAACGTGCTTGGGTTTCAACCACAACCTCCACACCTGCCTCAGGCCTTCCTCACCCACCCACCTAACTATTTTATTTTAAGATCTCTTCACCCCAGGCCTGTTTCTGGCGAACCCAATGTTAAGCTCCGTCTGCTTCCCGGTAGCTGAGGCTCTTCTGTTCCCATCGCTACAGTCGCCGGATCCCCACCTGCAGCTCACCCTGTCAGGAGGCCAAAATGAGGGAAACAACTTGAGTCCCCCAGTCCTCGCCCCTCAGGACCTACCTCCTTTCTCCCTTGCAGCCCATTCAGCCCAGAGTCCCCTGCCCCGGTCTGGGTGCTGGCCTCCCTCCTCCCTGGGGCCCATCCTGAGTCACTGGCATGATAACTTGTCTCTGAAACCCCAACCATCAGCCCAAGCCCTTGCCTTGCCCTTGTTTCTGCCTTGCTCTGAGTCCCCATGACCTGTGGACATCTGAAGACCACCAGAACGTCTCCAGATCACTAGCACTAGAGCCTCGGGGGATTGGCAGGACCCTCCTCAGGTGATTCTTGTGATGCTCTTACCCCAGCCCTCTATGCACTCACCTGGACCACAGTCCCCCGTCGCCTGTCTCCGGGCCTGCCAGATCCCTTCCCAGCAGCTCCCCTCCACCCGCTGCCCCAGGTATAGGCCTCCCTCCCTTCATCTCCTGCAGGAGTCAAAATATCCCTCCTCAAACATTTCTAAGACCCCAGAGTAGATTTACATCTTCAGCAGGATCAGAACCACGGTGAAGATGACAATGACAACCACCACAATGGCAGCGACGATGGCGCCCGAACTCTTATACAGGAAGTCTTCTCCCCTGGTGGTCATGTTCAATGAGAAAAAGGTGGTAGCCCCCAAAGGGGTGACTGTGGTCATCTCGATCCTTGGGATGGCGCAGGGCGGGTGTCAGCAGCGCGAGGCTCGGGGTCACATCAGGCCCCAGAGTAGATTTAGATGGATGTTTTAGCTCTTGTTCTGAGAAATAACATCCCCTTCCTTGGATGCCTGTGCTCAAAATATGTATTCACTCAACAACAACTCTCCCCACTCCCACCCGCCCATGAAAACAAAATTTTCTTTCCAACCTACATTGTGCTGGCCTCTGTGTGACCGAGGCGGGCTGGAGCCACCCCTGAAACAGACAGGAAGTCTGGCCCCCATGGGCCTGCAAGCATCGTGAAAGCCCCCAGAGACAGAGCCACCATCCAAGCAAAGAAGTCCCTCCGCCTGCTCCCGAGGTCTCGCCACTGACCAAGAGGAGTCAACCCATCTGGTGCTGCCATCTTGAATCACAAAGCATCAAAACCCGTCATTATCTCCTTGAACGCCCGGCTCCGGTTCCAGCCACTTGCTTCCCATGGTTCTTCCTTCAATGGGGCTTTGGCCTCCCCCACTATCTCCTTGACCCTTCCTTTCCTTTCCTGTCACGCTCCCCCCGCCCCCACCCTTCCCGAGTCAGATTCATGATTCAGCACTTCCACCTCTGAGGGCCATCTGCTCCTCTCCTCTCCAGGAACCTGCCTCTCTTCATTTTGTCTCCTCCCCAAGGCTCTCCTTGGCCGCCCTCCGCCATGATGGCCTCCTCCCCAGAGGCCAGGCTGGAGTCCACAATGACAGGGCAGCTGCGTGTTTCCCTGTCCACCGCCAGCCCTCAGCCGAGCTTGGCTGGAAGCCCATGCAAGCCTCTCAGGAGCTGACGGTCAACTTTCCTGGACCCAGCCCCTGACTTTCCAGTGAAAGCCCACAGCCACCGCAAGCCGCTGGCATCTTCCCTGGAAAGGACGCATGGGAGAGTCAACAGGGCTGTGTGTGCCTTGCAGCCTGCAGCCTTCACAAAGCCGAGGCCTGACCCTTCCCATAATAAAGGGCCTGACCCATGCCTTCCACTTCTGGTCCCCGTGGGAGCTAGGTGCATGGCTGACTGGGCCAAGGTCATGGAGGTTGTGACTGTTCTGGGAGCTACTGTGCCATGCACGGTTTTTCCTGGGGGCTGCTCCTGTATGTCTGAGCCCTCAGGATCGGACAGGCCTGGCGTGCTGACGGGTGCCATCAGGTCGGTTCTGACCCATAGCGACCCTGTGCACAACAGAACAAAACACCGCCGGTCCTGGACAGTCCTCACAACTGAGCCCCTTGGTGCAGCCACGGTGTCAGTCCAGCCCCTTGAGAGTCTTCCTCTCCGTCCCTGTCCCTCTACTTTACCAAGCATGACGTCCTTCTCCAGGGACTGGTTTCTCTCTCCTGACAGCATGTCCAACATGCACGAGATGACGTTTCACCATCCTTGCCCCAAGGAACATACTGGCCGTACTTCTTCCAAAACATCTTTATTTGTCCTTTGGGCAGGCCGTAGTACTTTTGATATTCGTCACGCGTACATTTCAAACACATCGATTCTTCTTTGGTCTTCCTTATTTAATGTCCAATTTTCACATGCGTATAAAGCGACTTAGACCAGGGCTTGGGCCCAGAGCACTTTAGTCCTCAAAGCAACCGCCTTGCTTTGCAACAGTCTAAAGAGGCCTCATGCCACAGACCGACCCCATGCAATGCACCCTTGATCTCTCGACAGCTGCTTCCATGAGCACTGACTGTGGATCCCAGCAAGACAAACTCCCTGATGACAACTTCAGTCTTTTCTCCATTTATCACAATATTTGGTTTTCTTTGCAAAGAATTGGAATCCTTACTGAAGGTTGCCACAGAGGTTAGGGTTTGCAACCCAAATGCTGAGGGGACGCAGTTCAATTCCTAACAGCCCCCTTTAGGCCACTTCGGTCTGAAGAAAGAGCTGCATTGCCATACCCATTTTCACCAACTGAGAGAGATCTGAGAAGAGTTTTACTTTGACCCGAAACACTGTGAAAAGTAAAACTAACGTGCGGTATTTCTTTTGTAGGGAGCCAGTGAAGGGGAAGGAGCCCTGGTGGTGTAATGGTTAATCATCGGGCTGCCAACCACAAGACCAGCAGTTCAAAACCACCAGCCGCCCCAGGCTTTCTCCTCCTGTAACAAATGACCGTCAGTCCGAGAAGCCCAGAGGAGCAGTTCTGCCCTGTATGAGGAGTCTGAGTCAGAATCTACTCAATGGCCGTGAGTTTGGTTTGGTTCAAGCGGTAGCACCCCAAGGTCAAGAGCGATGTCATCAAGGTCCTTTACCAGAAGTGACACTCAAGTATGTCAGTGTCAAATGTCAGTGTCAAGCCACCATTGCTTTGATCTGTGCCTGTGAGCCCCTGTGCTTGATCTCCATCTGTTTTGTCCATCTGTTAGCAAGATGTGTCTAAAGTGTCAGAGAAGTCTGAGAGAGCTCACCTGGCTATTACGCTTAGCCCGAACCTGGACATAATCAGAATTCTTATCGTGGGGAACACAACAAAGACATGGTGCCTGTGTTGGACTTGCCTGTGTCCACGAGGTGCCTGGCCCTTCAGCGCCATTCTCCCTCAGCCCACAAGCGTGCTCAAAACCAAAAAACCAAACCCGCTGTCATCGAGTCGACCCTATTGGACAAAGGAGGACAGCCCCTGTGAGTTTCTGAGACTGTCACTCTTTATGGGAGTAGAAAGCCCCGTCTTTCTCCCAAGGAGTGGCTGGGATCTTGAACTACTGGCCTTCCAACGGCATGACCAACGCATAACCACTCTGCCACCAGGGCTCCCTCGAGTGTGCTCGCTGTCTCCCCAGCTAGTACATGAAGCCACTCTGTACCTGCCTGATTTCTACTTGATAGAGGTTGTGCATTTACTAGATCATCCCCGCCTTTACTGTGTATAGGTTGGCACCATTTTCACTGAGAGTTAGTGTTCTTCAGTCTGATTTGGTAGGCTATTTTTTGAGCCTGATAGTGCTCAGACATCCTCCCCAGATAAATTCACGGTAACTGCATCTGTCTGAGCTTCATAGACTCCAGCTTCCCACAGGTCTCACCAGCATGCTCTACTTTGGAGAAGGGGGAGAAGCCTGCCTTTGAAAGACCAGCCCCTAGCAGACAGGCCCCCGGGGGGATGTTCCCGGGTGAGGAGCCAAACAAAAACATGGACAAGTGGGTAAAAAAGGGGTGGGACCAGGTCAGCCTTCTTCCAGGGAGCCTTCCACTCCTCCTTGTCTGGCTATAGAAATGAGGCATGTCTCCCAGGGGGCCACATGAGGCCTGCTAATTCCATTAGTTGCTCCCAGGAGAGAGGTTTCTCTAGACAAAGGATGCGGGTCACACTGCTCCTGGGCCAAGCCTCTGGGAACTCCCCAGACCCTCCACATATGAAAATCCATGAGGGTCCTGCCTTTGGGGAGTGGGGCAGCTGTTGGCTTCAGGTGTATTAGACTGGGCTGAGTAGAGAAACATCCAGCGACACTCATGTATATAAGGAAGAGCTTTATATCAAAGAGTAATTGCATATTAAGAAAATATCCCAGGGAACCGATCACAATGATCTACATATAACCCCCTGCCAAAGGGATGGACAACAGAAAAGTGGGTGAAGGGAAACATCAGTCAGTGTAACATGTGAAAAAATAATAATAATTTATAAATTATCAAGGGGGAAGGAAGGAGGGAGAGAGGCAGGGTGGGAGAATGAGAAGCTGATGCCAAGGTCTCAAGTGGAAACCAAATG